CTCTCTCTCTCTCTCTCTTTATAACTCTCCACTTTCTCCTCTTGTCTTACTTTTTATGTTTCTTTCTCATAGAATATCTACCCACTCTGTACGTGTAATTATCTTTCTACCACGATTCCTCTCCTCAACCGTCATTTTAATAATAATAATAAAAAAATATTATGTTGTATAACTAATGTTTTATGTATTATATACTTTTAAATAGCTATGGTATGTATCCTCATTGCATGTCTAAATCTTCTTCTGTATGTTATGTCTTTGCTACTCTTTTCCTCTCTCCTTCTCTCATTCCTTTTCTCTATCTCTCCTCTCTCTTTCTCTCTCTCTCACTCTCTCTCTCTATCTGTCTCTGTCTCTCTCTCTCTTTCCCCCTCTCTCTCAATATCTCTCTTCCCTTTCTAACTCTCGCCTTGACGCACTTTCTTTCTGTGTATTTCTACACACCTACCTACTCTGTACGATATGTCATTTTTGTGGCGCCCACCGACTCTCTCTCTCTCTCTCTCTCTCTCTCTCTCTCTCTCTCTCTCTCTCTCTCGGTGTCCCTCCCCACTGTATGTGTGTGTGTCTTTTTCTTTACATTATATTATGTTGGTTATAAAGAGAAAAGAACTTGGAGGGGTGAAGTGGGTAAGTTTGTTAGTAACGTCACGTTTCTTTAAATGAGTGAGATTCTTGGTCTGTGTCAAGGCTTGTGGCATCACTATTTTCTCTTCTCGTGCACGTAATCAGGTTCAAACAACCCACCTATTGTTCAGAATCCACATACCCAATTGCCCCTACACTATCGTAAAAGCGTCATCGATGAAGACTATTACAACCCCCCCCCCCCTCCCCCTTTTTCCCCTCTCCCAAAGAAAACACGAAAAAAGATTCTTCCATAACAGTGTTTTATGAATGGAATTTATCAGAGGTGTTTTTTTCTGTTGAAAGCTAACTAGTTTTTATTCTCTGACAATAATATATTAAAATGAAGCTTATGTTCCGACCCGTCATCCTGTCGGTCTTCTGCACACACACAAAAATAAATTTAATGCCATTCCAATCGATTCTGCTGTTCCTGATTTAAGATGAAATTCTCTGTGATGTCATCTTGATACATTTACGATCAATCAGTGTGATTCCGCTTTTCCCACTCAGAACGATCTTTCAATGAATCGTTTTTAATCCCTTAATATTTAAATGGAGAATCCCAATTTAGCCGTAAGCCAGTAGTGTCATTTTTTTCAAATATTCCGTAGAATGTTAAAATTAGACAACATTTTTTAAATCAAAGAAGGAAATCCGTGACATGCTGGCGTGCACGACATGTTTATTCAGCATGTCACAGAGACAATGAAAAGGATAGAGCTTGGGGGGGGGGGGGGGGGGGCTAACTTCCGGAAGAAGCAGCGTCACATATTCCTAGCCCAGCAAAATCCCATCTAAAAATAAATCCCGGTCAAGAAAATCCCGACTCCAATTGGGGTATTAAAGTGTTTTCCAACCGAACTCGCTCTCAGCGATTATTTCTA